CAATTGCCTAAGCTTACAGAATTAAGACTTGAAAACAACAAATTTGAAGGCCAAATACCTGATTTTAATCAAGAGAGACTTATAGATATGAATTTTGCTAACAACTCTCTTCAGGGCCCAATTCCTCATGGTCTTGCTAGTCTCAAACCTTCAGCATTTGAAGGTAATTTTTATTTTTTTCATTGTGTAGGATGAATTTCATTTTTTGAAATTTCTAGCTGCGCCGTACACGAATATCTAAAATGTAGTCGTAAAGATTATGTCCTAACTAGAAGCTAGCAAGGATTGATCAAGTCCAAATTAGCAGATTTACAATCCATTTCCCAATTAATATGAGACTCATTAACACTTCTTTCACGTCCTATCACCCAAAACAGAGATGAACCTGACTCTGAAATCATATAAAGATATGACATTTTTTGGGTCTAACTAAATCTCAAAAATTAGCTCACGTGGGAAAGATTGTCAAAGTCCATATTAGCAGACGATCAGCACATTCCCCATATGGCCCTTTTAACCCACATTCTTCTTCATATTGACGTTAGAAGAATTGCAATTCATAATAATTTTTATATAGTTTTTAAATATCTAAATTTTAACTTCAAAAAATATTGAGTTAAGCTTTCATTTTTGTGAAATAATACAGGTAATAATCTTTGTGATGGTCCATTTTCGAAATGCACGAGTGAACCAAAAGTAGCTCTGTGGACAATTATATTGGTGGTTATCGCAGTTGCAGCAGCAGTAGCAGCAATTGTTGTTGTTATCATCATTCTTCGTCGGGGCAAGCAGACACCCGAAACTGAAACAAGACCAATACCTACACCCTCTGGAGCTGCTGCAGGGGGCGCTACTAACCAAACAGGGGCGCCCTCAGCAGCAGAGCTAAACAAAATGGAACAGGGCAGCAATCAAGCAATTGCTGCTCGTGACCAGTCTCCAGAGGGGACCGCTGTACTCAATACGAATAAGAGGCCTGAAGTACAAGCAGTACAACAAAAACTTTTATTCTTAAAAGACGATATTGAAAAATTTGATTTGCCAGATCTATTAAAGGCTTCAGCTGAAATATTGGGTAGCGGTGTGTTTGGTTCGACTTATAAAGCTGCACTAAGCAGGGGACGCGTTATGGTTGTCAAAAGGTTTAGGCAAATGAATAATGTAGGCAAGGAAGATTTTCATGAGCATATGAGAAGGATAGGTAGGTTGAGTCATAAGAACTTGCTTCCTGTTGTAGCTTATTACTATAGGAAAGAGGAAAAGCTTTTGGTCTCAGAGTATGTCAACAATGTCAGCCTTGCGGTTCATCTTCATGGTATGTACTTCATACTTTTAACTTTCCGACGCTAAAATTAGATCATAAAATCATGATTTGCGCTATCACCTTAGTTTATTAACTCGCTCTATACCCGAAATTTCAGAGACACACTTATATTATACTAAGGTCACTTTTTTCGGTCTACGTGACACTAGCTTGAAAAAATGTCAAAACGCGCTGAGCCCAGAAAATAGTGTCACGTGGCCAAAAACGGGTAGAAAATTCTTTTTATAAAATAAGTTATGGAGAGTAATAAGACCTTAGTATAATATAAGTGTGTCTCTGAGATTTCGAGCATAGCTTGGAGGTACTTATGCATTTTCTCTTTATTTTATTCAATTCATTTTAAAACAGAGTTGATATGCAACTCGAATCCTTTGAATAGGGCTCATTTGTTGTTCTCTCTACCTACTCTCTACTAGAGTGATGATCTGGCGTTGTGATCATCTTATCTGGATATTAAGTTTTTACTATGATGAACTCTGTGATCGTCTCATTAAATATAATATTTTTTTTCTAGGTAATAAATCACGGGGCCAACCAAGTCTTGATTGGCCAACGCGATTGAAAATAGTAAAGGGAGTAGCCAAAGGACTATTGTACCTCTACAACGAGCTACCAAGCTTGACAGCACCCCACGGTCACCTCAAGTCCTCGAACGTGCTTCTGAATGAATCCTACGAGCCCCTCCTCACGGACTATGCATTACTACCTGTGGTAAACCTAGAACACGCGCAAGAACACATGATTGCTTACAAATCTCCTGAATTCAAACATAATGGTCGTATCACACGTAAAAATGATGTGTGGACGCTTGGAATATTGATCCTCGAGATGTTAACAGGCAAATTCCCGTCTAATTTCTTGCAACAAGGCAAGGGGAGCGACACGGATTTGGCTACGTGGGTAAGGTCCGTGGTAAATGAGGACATGACGGAGGTAGATGTATTCGAGAAGGAGATGAGGGGTACAACGAATTCGGAGGGAGAAATGATGAAGTTATTGAAGATAGCTTTGGGTTGTTGTGATCTTGATATGAAAAAGAGGTTTGACATAAAGGAAGCAATGGAAAGGATTGAGGAAGTAAAAGAGAGAGATGGGGATGATGATTTTTACTCTACAAGAGGATTATCCGATGATTATACTCAGGTTTCGATGAACATTTAGAGAGTGTTGGTTATACATATTCATAGTGAATATGTTCGTGTGTAACACTTTTATTTGTTCAAATATCATCATGGTAAATATGGGATGGGACTTTTATTTTGATTGATGCATGGTTGGGGGTCGTATATATTGCTCAATGAAACCACAAAATAAATAAATATGCAAAAAAAAATAAAAAAGATAGAAAAAATGAAAGTTTAAGTGTTTTTTTGTTTTGATTCAATTGAAGCAAGGGAACATGTAAATTGTCCTTGATGAATCTAGTTTAGCTAGTTGCCTTTACTTTTTTTTTTTTGGAAACTTTATCTAGTTTATTATATTTGGGGATTGTAAAAATTAATCCAAAAGCATGCAAAAACAACGAATTATGGATCTTTCAATTGTAGCTAAAATTGTTGGACTCAACATCAAAAGTCAAAATCGATTTCTTCACTCTTGAAAATATAATTCTATTAATCACGATATAAATAACCTCCGCATTCAATATCTTAAACAATATATATAAATAATTGAGACTAACCTAGACATGTTAAATTATTAAATTTCGAAAAGTGTCAAGAAACAAGAATAATAAACAAAATATTTGAACTAATTTAAAGGTTCGCAACGAATTACGAGATAAATGCCCATTAAATCTAAGGCGAATTCCTTCTTTTGCTCCTTAGCCTACGGATACAAAGAAGACAGGCAGCTCCTTATTTGACTTTTTTAATATGCTTTTTGTCTATAATTATTTGTTTTAATTGATATATGTATTAGAAGAATATTTTTAAAAATTATGATAAATAATTTAAGACAAAAAAAATAAGAAAAAACATAATACTTAAAGAGCAATTTATACAAATAGCAAATATAAAATTCTTATTTATATGTTAATTTGCATAATTACACTCTATAGCAAATTTTGTTATGCTATTTCGCTATACATATATAGAAAAGGCAGTGGCTATTTCGATATATATATATATATATATATATAAAAGAAATAATTGTATAAATTGTTACCAATCTCTCGTTTGTATAAATCGTTGGCATCCTCTCAATTCAATTTTATGTATTTGTATATCTGTTTAAAATTTGAATTGTATACTATTGAATCGAAATAAGATATTTGTATATCAATTATCGTTCTTTCTCTCTCTCACTCGTTTATTCGAAAATTATACATTGTATTTTATATAATTTGTGTTTGTATAAAGTTAGAAAGAGAGAAATGCAAAAGAAAGCTGGAGAGGAAAATATTTGTATTGTATAATAAGTGTATTATAAGACGAAAATATATGTATTTACATGTATATATATAATTTTCTCTTGTTTTATACAAAAAGAAGCGTAATTTATACATTTATATTTATATAAAGCGAGAAAGGCGGGGTGAGAGGCGAAGGGAAAGTAGCGAGCGAGAAAGAGTGAGTGGCGAGTGAAAGTTTGCTCCAGAGCACTATTAGGTAAAACTATAATTATAACATTTAATTTAAATTAATAATTTTACATTATATACAATTTTCATACTTAAATTTATGGAGTAATGTGAGCAGATTAAATATTAATTATTATGGTCAACTTAAAGCTCCGTGATAGATCTGCAACAGGAACAGACATTATTTTATTTTAATTCAAAAATAAAGAGTTAATTACACTTAACACTTCTGTACTGGAGTATTATCAGTTATTAATAGAATTTTTAAATTTTTAAAATTAAATAATTATAATATCCTCAATATTATATACTCCATACATTTATAAAAGAATAATCTCCTTTCTTTTTTAGTATGTTTAAAAATGAATGACCTCTTTATTTTGTTGGTAATAACTTTTCACATGACATGTTTAAGGCCACAAGATTAAATGACTATTTTGTATATTTGATATAACTTTAATTTAGGACCACATGATCAAAAATCTTCTTTATTTTCTTAAAATTCGTGTCAAGTTAAACTAGGTCATTCTTTATAAAACGGAGGGAGTATTAACTATCTAAGAAAATAGAAAATTCTATCACTGACACCTCTATATGATGATATATATATTATATATATATTTTAAGAAAATTATTCTTTTTTTAATTGAAGGCACGAAATTCGTTTATCTGGTAAAAATATTTTATTTTTCCTATTTGTTTTTTGCCTAGATAATTCACTGAAAAAAATGCATGATGTGTGGCTGAATTATAGGAAGTTACCAAACTCTTTTTGTATGGAAACATGATTATTTTTCTTTTCACACTAATTTCATTAAAATATATGTAGAAATAGCTATTTAACATTTTTCACTAGGAAAATAGGAGTAATTTTTTTATTAATGGAAATCTTATATTTACAAATCCCTATGAGATTTATGTGTTACCAAGTATATTTAAACGTAATAATAAATATACCCTTTAATTTAATTTCATTTCACAATTATTATCATTCAACTTTGGGTGTTCAAAGGACGTGTATATCTATATGTTATACACTTTTAAGTGTTTACTTGTGAACACTCAGAGTTGAAGGACATAAATACAAATTGAGGCCAAGTTAAAGAACATATTATGTATTATGTCAAATTATATTTGATAGCTCAATTTTTTTTTACTGATTTGCGATGAAAACAATCTTTATTTCTAATAGTGATATAGTGAGTGGAAGTGTTTGACTTGAAAATATAACAAAAGTATCTGAAACTGAGTCATATCACCAAGATAAATTACATTTAATATCATAAAACGCTTGATATAGTGATGGTACACTTTAATATCTTCTTGCTTCCTACTCCATCTTCTTGTCATGGCAAAACATCAAACCACTTCTTTCAATTTCCGATCTTCTTGTTCTATTCTTGTTTTTTTATCAATCTTCTCATCAATTCCTCTTCTCTATTGGTCTTATTCAATTGGTTATGGCTATTGTCATGATCAAGTAGAAAATAACAAAGAAATGTTATCAATGGAACCAATTAAACTCCTCAAATTTCCAAAAGCTTGGAACCAACTTGTTTTTTCATCAAAACAACGTCGTACTCCTCAGACAAAACTCCTTAAAATTGGTCTCTTTGTCAGGAAATGGCCAGAAAAGAATCAAGCTGGAGGTATGGAACGACACGCCTTAACACTCTATCTTGCCTTAGCTAAACGCGGACATGACCTTCACATCTTCACAACTTCTTCATCCGCGAGTATTCCAAGTACCATGAGTAATCTCCATTTTCACATCTCAAGGCCTATAGGTTCAGGATATCTAAATCAAGTTGTTGCTTGGAAGCAATTTTTAGAAGAAAACGCGACAAAGGCCTTTGATGTTATACATTCAGAAAGTGTAGGTCTCAGACTAACAAAATCAAGTACTTACCTGAATAATGTCGCGGTTAGCTGGCATGGAATTGCTTATGAGACTATACATTCTGATATCATACAAGAACTCGTAAGAAATCCTCTAGATTCATCGTCACAACAAGTGATCAGCGATGGCAAAATGATGAAAGTTGTTGAAGAGGTAAAGTTCTTTCAATACTATGCTCACCATGTTGCCACGAGTGATCACGTTGGAGATGTACTTAAAAGGATCTATATGATCCCAGAAGAGCGCGTTCATATCATCTTAAATGGAGTAGATGAGGAAATATTCAAACCAGATGTTTCAAAAGGCAATGATTTTCTACTGAAATTAGGTCTCAACCAAGATAGATCAAGGTCATCGATAATCCTAGGATTATCAGGTAGATTGGTTAAAGATAAAGGACATCCATTAATGTTTGAAGCATTACAACAGCTCTTCTTAGAGAACTCGACATTTAAGGAGACTGTGATCGTCCTAATAGCTGGAAATGGTCCATGGGGTGATCGATACAAAGAGCTAGGACCAAATGTGATGGTTTTAGGACCACTAGAACGTGCTCAATTGGCGGAGTTTTACAATGCAATAGATATATTTGTACACCCAACTTTACGAGCTCAAGGTTTAGATCAAGTACCATTGGAAGCATTTTTAACAGGTAAGCCTGTGATGGCGACAAAACTAGCAAGTTTTACTGGTTCTATTATTGTCAACGAAGATATGGGATACACATTTTCACCTACAGTAAGTGAATTGAAGAGAGTTTTGTATGAAGTTTGGGAAGGGGGAAAGAAAAATTTGGAGAAAAAAGGCGGGTTTGCTAGGGAGAGAGGGTTGAAGATGTTTACTGCAACGAAAATGGTTGCAGCGTATGAGAGGCTATTTCTTTGTATCTCAGGTAACAATGAGGAAAAACAACAGAAGAACGAAGATTATTGTGTCTATCAACCTCATCAAGAGATGGATTGATAGGAATATGAAACTTTGAGAGTTAAAATCAAGAGCTCAGTTAGTACTAGAGGTTCAAGTTCTTTCTTGATTCATTGTTTATTCGATATGGATTTTCATCTTATATCGTTCATGCTCCAGTGTCCAGGACATGTACTCATTATATGATATGGATCGTCCTTACCTCTTGAGCTAAATTCTAGGTTAAGTTAGACCTAAAGTATGTTTTTCTTAATATCTTTCAAAAGCTCAACTCATTTTCCTTAATTAAGCTTAAAATAAAAGGAAACTTAACTATGGATTCCAACTCAGGTTTCTATAGAAAATACTTTCTCCGTTCATTTTCACTTAATTATTATGGAGTTTGCATGCCTTTTAAAATAGTGATAAATATGAATATTTTGTTTTAATAATTGATGTATAGCATGTATGAACATGTTGAGAAAAGATTTGAGAAATAAATAATTATGTTGGGGATAAAATAAAAAAATGATTACGTAAATTTTTCAAATATATATTAAAATATGGACAAATTAAATAGAATTGACCTCCTAACCTCTCTTTGGTTTTATCAAATTAGTAAATTTATTACTCTTTTTTTTTTCTTCAGATTACACACTTTTCAAGTAATGGCACATGTTAACATTGAAAATGGTATTGAAGACTATTGCGCTAAGATGATATATATTTATTTATACAATGTTTGATATTAAAATAAGTAAAATCCTTTTGGCCTGAATTTAGGCGAAACTGATATTTTGCCAATGTTATTTTATTTTTTTTAGATATTTTTATCCTTTTAATTTTAATATTTTTAAATTAAAAAATAGAAGGAAAAAAACTCAATTTATTTTGAAGTAAAAAAGATATTATTAACTTTTAAAATCTTTGGCCAAATTCAAGCTAAATTTTTGGCCATTTAGCCTTACCCTTAAAATAATGTTCAAGGGTTTAAAGACCAAAATATGAAAATTGAGTTGAAAAATAATGACCTCTTCGCCCAACAATAGTTGTCACTGTATTATTTTGAAATGTCTAACAATACTTGTCCACTTTACAAATAATTTTACATTTAATTTCTAATTTAACCTTATCATTAATTAAAGTTATTTCTTTATCATATTTTTCAAAACATTATATTATATTAAAAAATCCTTAAAAGCTTTAGTTATTCTCTAATTCTAATATTATAGAGTTGGACTCAAATAATATGAGCTCATTTTTCGGCCCAAGATATCAGTTTATCCTAGAGACCTAGATTTATGTTATAGGTAAAAAATAACATGTTCTGATCAATCAAATATCGACTTATTATTATTATTACTTCTATGTAGTGATAACTCTTCTCTCCAACAATTTTAAATACGAGTACTCATCATAATCAAAAGCCACAAATTTCAAGATCTAAGTTACACTCAATTAAATTCATATATAATGAATATCAAGTATAACTTATTACACCTATTCCCAAAATCATAATGAAATCAAAAGTATTTAAAATCACGTTAGATGAATTTTGTAAATGGACATACTTATATTTTCATATTGTTAGTAGTATACTATAACATGTAATAATTATATATGAATTATAACATATATTTTATTTTATGCTTCATTGAACCGTTTAACTTGGAAAATAACAAGATCACTCTACAAATATTGTTATAAGAATCTATATATATATATATATATATAATAAAAAAAACTTTAGAAGTAAACAAAAAAAAGAATAAAAAACATTTGTTTCCATTCCACGTCTTCTCTAGTCAAATATATATATATAGTTAATGTTTTAGAACAACCCTAAAAACTTAGAACCCTAAAAGAAAATAAATATTAAGTAAATGAAAAAACAAATTCCTGGACGAGCTTGATAAATGGGCAAAACTCTTAGAGCCTCCAAAATGAATTGACATATATAGATATATATAGTGATAAAACAATTTCAACAACAAATTTTTTTGAAAAACATATTGAGAAGAAAGAAACTAAACAAAGGGGAAAAAAAAACATAAAGAATTTGGGACCTTATTTGAGGTCCCTATACATATCGAAAGAAACAATTTAAGAATTGATCTTAAATTGAATATTTTCAATTATTATTGTGGTGTTTTGTGGAATAAATTTGTTGAAAATTATCATCATATATTATAATGAGCCAAAGGAGTTTTACTGGGGATCAAAATAAGGCAACAGTAGTTGCAATAGATAAAGATAAAGGAAGCCAATATGCATTAAAATGGGCTGTTGATACTTTGATTGGAAGAGGCAAAAATGTTACTCTTCTTCATGTTAAAGTTAGACCTTCTGTTTCCCTTCCTAATGCAGGTTCTTTTTTTTCTAAACTTCATATAATCTTTCAATTTTAATTTTTCTAAAAAAAAATCGACGAAAATCGATAGGAGATATTGATGTTTTTTTCTGATTCTTTTATGTCATTCTTATTGATGTACATTGCTAATTTTGTGTTTTTGTTCTTTTTGTGTTTAATCTTTTATTGTGTCATTGTCAATTCTCTCTTTTGGTAAATGATTTGGCTGAGATGTTTAGCCTATCATTTTCTCTTTTGGTAAATGGAGGTACATTTTTTTTCCTTTATAGAAAAAGGTGAAAACTTACTTGCACACGGTGTTTATCCCAAACCATATAAAACCATAAATAATGGCATGAAAGTATTTTTATTTGTTGATAAGAGGTATATGTTCTAGCTTCAAAAGATAGACATGATGTTTTTAATCTTAAAGCTATGTACTTCTCAAATTATGAATTTAGAATTTAATATTTGTTAAAAGTAAAGTGATTTCTTTCTATATATATATATATATATATATATATATATATGGTTCATGTAGAAAATATTAAGTTCAGTTGAACCTATTATTCAAAGCCTATATCCATCTCTGGCTTTAAACCTATTATTTGAACAACGTTTCTTTCTCAGATGTGAGTGATGGAACTCCCAGAGTATATAGAAGTGATCCTGATAGTCAAGCAAAGGAATTGTTCTTACCTTTTCGATGCTTCTGCACCCGTAAGAATGTAAGTGCACGTTGCTGCTTAAACGTTCAATCTTCCTCGTGTTCTTGCAGATGTCGTTTCATTTTCTGAATCATCTTATATCTCTTTGTCGTAGATTCAAGTCAATGAAGTTGTAATTGAAGGCATAGACATAGCGACCTCCATAAGTGACTATGTTACAGCCAACGTCATAGAGAATCTAGTGGTGGGCGCTGCATCAAGGAACGGTTTTGTTAGCAGGTACTATTTTCTATTGTTTCCAATAAATTGAAGTATTCACCAACACTGTACTATTTCATATCTAACTACTTACGACATTTTTACTTGAAAGATTCAAGATGACGGATGTCCCAACCGCGGTGTCCAAAATCGTACCTGACTTTTGCACAGTTTTTGTGATTGCCAAAGGCAAAATTCAATCGACAAAGAATGCATCTTCTCCAGTTCCCAGTTCACCAACTCCCTCGCAGCAGAATCATTCCACCTCCTCTCTAGGTGCTAAGCTTGGCTTCGCTGATACACGTTATGCACAAATCAGCAGCGACACAAAAGGTCTGTTTTTCCACCTGCAGCATATTGCGTTAATTTCTGTCATAAAGCATTTGAACACTGTTAGAACTGGTTTAACCTGTCCTATTTCACCAGGAAGTGTGACTGATATTAGGTCACCATACGCATCACGAAGCTCAGCTGACGATTTAGATAGCATCAAGTAAGTAATTCAGAGAATCAGGAAGCAGAAAGTACTTTATGCAATATATAAGAGGAAGTGCAAAATGTACTACTCTAAATGGTTGATTAAGATAAAACGACTCAATTTATATTTATCTCTTTCAACAGGTCCCCATTCACCAGAGGTAAAGCGATAAACAGATCATATGGAGACCTCTCAGTGGCAGAATCTGATTTATCATTTGTGAGCTCTGGTCGTCCAAGCTCTACATTTCCAATCTCTATGGATAGCAGTCACGATTTGGGTCTTCCCCCTCGGCTTTCAAACAGCTCAGACACAGATGCTAAATATTCTGCTCCACGACTTTCAAACAGCTCAGAAACGGAGAGCAGACTAAGCTTTGGATCATCATTCTCAGCAACCAGGTTATCTGAAGCCAATGGCTTCTCATCAAATTCTTTTGATAGTGGCAATGGATCATGGTCTTCACCCAGCAACATGGTATGCATTTCAACATCAACTACAGGAATATCTGCAAAAAATTGTTGAAACACACTAGATACAATATCACAGAAGCAATCTAAGTTTAACCAAATAAATCCAGAAAAAGTATAGGAAGATAAACATGGTACAACAAACTCTAATCATTTGATGGAACCTATCCTCCTCATGATTCCAAGATATGAATTTCATCACTTTCTGTTGTTATGAAGGTGTTGTCACTCAAGCTTTCCTATGTTTCACTAAAGCTGTGACAGAGAAGGTTTCTTTAGCAACTACTATTAGCACCACATACAGAAGATAAATGATAAATATTTTTCTCTAATATATAGGAAGACATAGAAGCAGAGATGAGAAGACTCAAGCAGGAACTCAAGCAGACTATGGACATGTACAGTTCAGCATGCAAGGAGGCACTTTCAGCAAAACATAAGGTATTAATTTGAGGTGGTAAAAATTTCTGTGTTTTAATCAGAGTTATAGTACATTAGTGTATCAGAATATGTTGGAAAGTACCTTCACTTGTGAACTGGAATGTAGCCTAATTTTTTTCATGCAGGCAATGGAGCTTCACCGCTGGAAAGTAGAAGAAGAACAAAAATTAGAAGAGGCACGACTAGCAGAGGAAGCAGCACTGGCTGTTGCAGAGAAAGAAAAAGCAAAGTGCAGGGCAGCCCTTGAAGCAGCAGAAGAAGCACAGAGGATCGCCGAACGAGAGGCACAGAGAAGAATCAGTGCAGAAAGGAAGGCACTCAAAGAATCTGAAGAGAAGAAGAAGGTACTGGATGCCCTTGCACAGAGTGATTGCCGGTATCGTAAGTATACAATAGAGGAGATTGAAACAGCAACAGATAACTTTGCAGCAATTCGTAAAATTGGAGAAGGTGGATACGGGCCGGTATACAAGTGTTACTTGGATCACACGCAGGTTGCAATTAAGGTTCTCCGTCCAGATGCTGCTCAAGGAAGGTCACAATTTCAGCAAGAGGTATGTAACAGAGGAATCCTTCCTTTGGTCTAAAGAAAGTAACGAAGATTTGAACACATTTAGAGAACATATGTCAGTTGTTTATCTTGCAGGAAAACAGAATATTAGTGCTCTGGCGTCATGGACTAAGCATCTTTATAAAAACTTGTGTCCTTCTTGGATCATAATCAGTGTTCAACAAATCAAAATATGTGAAATAGGAGCTATAGAGTCTCTAGATTGTGTGTATTGCGAAATTGACTATGCCACACTACACCCCACACCCCACACACCCTTTAAAAAAAAAGAAGAAAAAAAAACATACCAAGCAAATCCAATTAGTCATAGAGTAGTTCCCGAAAAGGTTATATTCTCTCATGCCCCTTTTCATTTGCTCTGATGCAGGTTGAAGTTCTAAGCTGCATAAGGCATCCAAACATGGTTCTTCTACTTGGAGCCTGCCCTGAATTTGGCTGCCTAGTGTATGAGTACATGGCCAATGGGAGCTTAGATGATCGCCTCTTCCGAAGAGGAAGCACTCAAGTTCTTCCTTGGCAACTGAGATTTCGTATAGCTGCAGAGGTCGGAACTAGCCTCCTTTTCCTTCACCAGACCAAGCCAGAACCTCTAGTGCACAGGGATCTGAAACCTGGCAACATTTTGCTTGACCGCAACTATGTAAGTAAGATCAGCGATGTTGGTTTAGCTAGGCTCGTCCCCCCTTCTATAGCTGACTCCGTGACACAGTACCGAATGACATCAACAGCGGGAACATTTTGTTATATAGATCCTGAATATCAGCAAACTGGGATGTTGGGAACAAAATCTGATATATACTCATTCGGAATAATGCTTCTCCAAATAATTACAGCCAGACCTCCAATGGGTTTGACTCACCATGTTGAGAGGGCAATTGAGAAAGGCACTTTTGCTGATATGCTTGATCCAGCAGTTCCTGACTGGCCTGTGGAAGAGGCTTTAACGTTTGCCAAGTTAGCACTCAAGTGTGCAGAACTCAGGCGTAAAGACCGACCAGATCTTGGCACTGTAATTTTGCCTGAACTTAACAGGTTACGTTTACTTGCTGAAGAAGCAATGCAACCAATGCATTTTGGAAGCAGCCCAAGAAGCCCAACTAGTGAAAGTCGATCTAGCTCTCAAGTAAGTGATATAAGAACATCTTTGTAAAAGCAAATTGAAAACAGTTTCAACTTCAAGAAAATATCATGAGAATGCTGCAGATGGAAGAATGTCAGCAATGTTGATTGGCATACCCACCATGAAGAAGAACCTTCAAACACATAAAAAAGTAATGATCTTTTGCAGGTAATTTCAGGATCAGATAGCAATAAAAGTCGCTCAAGCAACCCCTTTTCATCAAGCACAAAATCAAGTGGTGAATAAGAATATGCATATAACAGAAAAAAGCTGAAGGAGCCAAGATACTGTTGATACCAAAGATACCACAAGCAGCTTCTTTAATGTAGTTCATCTTCTAGGTAGCTGAAGATAGCTGTTTTCATCCAGCTACCAGTTACTTGATATTTATCCTGCAAAAAGAAAATGATGCTTTAACTAAACTATGTTCATAAAAGTTGACAGACTTCTGATAGCATGTTTCCTTTTGCTTTATAAAAAATAATTTTTTCCCTTTAAGATCCTATATACTTAAGGCCATGTGGCATGAGTAACACTATAAAATGCAGGAACACGAATTTCCTGTACTCATTAGCTCTAAACAAGAAAATTTGGAACCAGCAGATTAACAAGTTGGAAGATGGAACATCCAACTCTTTTAGTGAAACCACAGAATTCAAGCACTGTGATTAAAACACTTGGAAAATGTTTTTTTTTTCCTTTCAAAATAAGCTTAAGGAGAAATGCAAATGTCAGAAGGATGTGCAGTCATAGAAGATTAAAAAAAAATGATGACATTTGGCAAAAGGTGAAAGTAGTGCACGTAGAGGATAAAGTGAGAAAAGGTTGTTAGCTTGTCACGTGATATATCGACCTCAGATGCACCGGTCCATATTTGTGAAACTGTTGAAGTGTGTGACCATTCTCATCTAAAAGCTTAAGCTATTAGAGAGAGCACACATTCATTTTCTTAATTATATTCTCAACACGCCCCCTCACTTCTGGGCTTAATTCTTTTTTTCATTGGCCAAGAATGTGGAAATTCTTTTTGATAATGGGTGGCAGTGATTTTTGCTACCATGTTGAAATATTTGATTGACATTCGACTCACCTAGAAACTTAAGTTGTCAGAGAAAAGCATACTTCTATTTTGTTAACTATATTTTCAACCGAAATCATGATGATAGAAGATAGTAAAAGGAGACAATATAGACCTAAAATCACATGGAATGAAGTTGTATTGAAAAATTAAAGTTTTGTTGGCGGAGTTCCACGTCAGTTGTGGAAAGGGTATTTGGTCTCCTATTATTTTATTTTTTAATAAGGTAAAGTATTATTGAAACAGTACCAAGAAGGATACAAGAATCCAAACAAAACCCAACCACACAATCTGCTACTCTTTTCTACCTAACAATTTCAGAAAATCCATGTACTAATCTAGATTAACTAACATATTGTTATTACACCAGAAGTACAGATCCACATTTATTTTTAACTCTAGAAATGTGATCTCTATGTCCTTCAAACAAAGCTTGTTTTTTTCCAGCAATATTATCCAAGAAATGCAGAGAGGGATAGTCTTCCATATCTGTTTCAGCCTACTAGGAACCCTTTGAACATGCCATCTTTCTAATGACTAATAGACCCTTATAACTTTCGACATCACCCATGAAATGCCCAAAACGCTAAGGAAAAGTTCCCAGCCTCATCAAGAGAATCTGCAGTAGAGAAGTAAAAGTTCAACTGTTTACTGTTCTTCTTCACATAAGTAGAATCTGTTACACAAAATAAAGCCCTTCTTCTATAATTTATTTTGAGTAGACATGCACCCTAGGTTGCAATCCATTCCGGACATGCTACCTTAACTTATGTTTCAGTCTTCCAAGGCCACTTTTAACAACTTTTAACAGAGAACTTCTTATCGTTACTGGTTGTCCAAATCAACGAGGCCACTTTACCCTGAACAGACAAAGATCTCTTATATGGTTTCCGACGATCCTCACTTCATGAGCTAGCTTTTGATATTGAGTTAGGACCAAAGTCCAATTTTCTTATCCTGGTATTAGAGTTACGCTTATCACAATTCTCTTGGTTTATCAGATGTTAAGCCCCCCATCTAATATTGTTCATGCTACAGATGTGCAGTCCTAGCACACAGAGTGTTGAGTTCCCACATCGATTGTGGGATTGGTAAGTCTCCTCATAGACTGTGTATGGGTTTTCGAAGAGATTTATAAAGTCCTGGACCACCTATTGCCTTAAGGTTTTGGGTTAGATGCTCATATTCTTCACTTGATATTAGAGTCGAACTCTCGTGAGCCCATTTGCACAACCATTTTCTCTTTTCATGTTCTATTGTTGTGCACTTATCTTTCTCAACTCACCCCATAAAGCTGCTCTGGGTTTCTCTAAGTTCAGCCCATTGAGCCACTAACATTACTGTTGGCCCACTATTCAAATGCATCACGTAATGAACCCGGTCCATTAGTTGGTTGTATCACACAATGAATCCCATCCATTACTTAGTTACTAATCATTCCATTAGTTAGTTACTGATCTGATAGTTAGTTGACTGGTTACTCATTAATTGGTGATGAGCTGGCTTTGTTTGTTAGGATTCATTTACAGGATACTTTGTAGATTGGGGATATAAGAGTTAGCACAATGCTCTCATTTGAATGTAACACACGAAAATAATGACCAATACAACTTCCTTTCTCTCTTCTCTTAGCTTGTGTTCATTAATGGAGTTGTGAGTTTGTGAGCTCATATTTTCTCACCCACTCATTAATCTATTGAGTCTAGTCTCTCTCATCAATCTTCACCTTTTTAGCTATTAATACTCAGGTGTAAGAGCCTGTTTGGATAGGCTTAAAAAAGTAGCTTTTAAGTCAAAAATAAAAAGTCAAACTGAAATGACTTTTCAGTCAAAAATATAAAAAGTAGGGGGAGACCTACTTTTGGTTTCTGACTTATTTTAAGTCATTTTTTACTTTGTCAAACACTTCGTAACTTATTTTAAGTCGTTTTTGACTTATTTTAAGTTATTTTTTATATTTGTAAAACATTTCCATAAGTCAAAAACTAACTTAAAAGTAGGTTTGACAGACTTTTAAGCCAATCCAAACGGGCTCTAAGTCTATCTAACCCTCGCCACATCAAGGCAGATTTTGAATGTGTGCGTGCGTGTGTGTGTGTGTGTGTGTGTGTGTAAAGCTTTAAGAAAAAGTGAGTTTTCTGGGAGTTTTTGGAGACGTGAAGTTGTTCCACTCGGAGGAAACTCCAAGTGAAGATCCTCCTGGAGTTCCATTTATCTGCAGAAGTTTGTCTTTTTTCAGGTTACTAATCTTCAGTTTTTTTTTATTTGTTTTTAGCATCTGTTAACCAATCCACTAAATTGTACCACTCAGCTGAGCTTACTGAATGGATAGGTAGGCAAGAAAGGGACCAAACAATAGCATAAATGGTAATTAAAAGAAAAGAAAAAAAAAGTTTAGAATTGTAAATTGCAACTAACCCACAACTGCAGCTTCCAGTTATATCTTTTCTGATAAAATCAGTGAATGGGTAGCTGCAGTCAGGACAGATAAACCACTTAAACCCAGTGTATCTGAAGAACCGGACAGACAGAAAACAAAATGTCATAATCTTGTTAGGATCAATACTGTTTAAGAAACTGTTTCATCTTTCTCACATATTATGGCATACTACGCAACATGTCTGAGGTGGATATTAGTATACTACTGTCTCACATATCAGATGTTACTTATGCATGCGTTCATGGAGTTAAATTTGCTTTCAATAAGCAATGAAAACATGCTTACTTTTTCAAATTACTGTGCACAAAGCAATTGCACAGAACTTCCAGCTTAGAAACTTTTCATCTTCAATAGTTCCAAAAGATTTGATTACGGCGGAAGTATTTCTTGAGATAGGTGGTAATAAGCACCTCATATGTCCAATTTGTTTTCTTACTGAACTCTAAACGTGCCTCCGAGCTTAAGTGGAAATCCCCTTTCCCCATGGCCTCAAATACAAGCGGTTCTGTTGCTACTGTAACACAATCATTTGTATTCAATTTCCTTAAGGCAAAATCCAAATTTCGTCCCAGACCTCTATCCAAGTATGCATCAACAACAGAACCGTAAGTCACAAGATCAGGAACTACCTTCTCATGTTTCATATGTTCAAGGGTTACATGCAGATCCCAAAATAAAGACATCTTTGAAAATGCCAAAGCTCTAATATTGAAAGTATTAAGATCAGGAAAAAATCCACTTTCTACCATTCTCACAAATTCTCTCTGCAAACTTTTCATTTTGAAGTTGGCAGCATAAGAAAGAAGTAACAGGTTCCACAATAGATTCCCGACATTTCTCCTACATAGACCGACATCTCTTACAAACTGACCTAAACTATAAAACTTCTCTTTCTTGAGATAAGCCAAGGATATCGACCTGATTGCTTCTTCCTCTATAAGAATTCTTGACATCTTAAGACGGCCATATGCAACTTCCATTTCACTCAGCGTGCCAAAATTGCTATAGTAAATAACATAGGCATTTCCAGTCGTAGAGTCAACAGGGAACCCCATGGAAACCATCTCTTCCAACATAACTTCCATCAATTCAAGCTGCCCTTTCTTTCCAAAACGAGAGATAGCCTGAGCATAAACATCACGAAGCAGGTTGGAATCTTTCAACTGAATCTGATGCAATATTCTGACAGCAACATCTAGATATCCTTTGCAACCGTAAATATCAATCAGTTCTGCAATTACATGAACATCCGGCAGAAATGAACTATTCATAATTTCATCCCAAGCGGCTAATGCTTTGCAAAATAAACCATTAGTAGCATAGCATAGCATCAATGCTGACAAGGTAGAGCTATCAGGTACAAAACCCTCAGATTTCATTTCAAGGACTAGCCTTTCAGCAGCAACAGGCAATTTTTTCCTACTTAACCCCTGTATCAGTGAAGCACAATCTCTGTAATTAATACGTGGATCAATATTCCCTCCCTGTTTCATGTGCCAAAAGTCTCTGTGATCAGTAATATATACAACTTATAAGGTAAACCATATGACTATATTTATGCAATGATTGATTGGATAGCTGTTTCTAATCGTATTGCTACTTCCAATCCAATATTTGATTTGATTGTTGCTTGAAATTTTATTATATTTTATTGTTAAATCCATCATTACGTAACGACGGAAAGTTTCACGTTTTATGTAACGATCCGTTTGGTGCGGTCGCATTGTCATCTTTCTTGTCTTTCTCATTGTCTTTGCTTACTATTTAATAATCCTTTTTTATCCATTGCCCTACTTTTTCTATAATAACTCTACCTCTTATCCTGCTTTTCCTACTTTTCTTTATAATATTGTGTTCCATCCTTCAAATTGTTAATGTGTGTCATTACGCAATAACCAGTGGCAAATTTTAGAGCCAAAAAATAGGGAACTGGATCCCGCGGTCATTTCGTAAAATTAGATATTTTATATCTGCATTTTCTAAAATTTGTATAATATTATATTCTGGCACCCGTACTACAAGAAGTCTAAATGGTCCACATGGTTAAATGTTGAGCTTTTGATCAATTCCCACTTCATTTTACTTGATGCAACCATGTTCGAAAAATCCAATACAATCTATTCGAACATTGTACTCTTCAAAACAATAAGTACAATAGGTATAATACATAAACATGCACTTTTAACTTATATAAAGTGGAACAAGTAGTCACGTGCCTTCTACGTGGTGTCCTACTTGGCAATTCATGTTTTATGTGTATATATATGTTCAACTTTGTACAAGTTTAAGCTAAAATAGTTTATGTATTAACGCCAATACAATGCAATGATACATAAAAACCATCCAAATAAGCTAATTTGAGCTGATTTAATTCAATTTAGGTTCAAAAATTAGTTGTAAAAAAGGAAAAAAGTGAGGGGGGAATATAGCCAAGATGGATGGAAGTGAAAATTGTACCTTTTGTGCAGAAGATTGATTTTGGTGGGAAATTAACCTCAATTTTGGAGTTACGGCTATGGATAAAGCTAACCCAGCTGCCATTGGTGACTTATCCTGAGAAGCTCAAATGCACAATGTTGCTGCCCCTAAACTTAAAACTGGGCTATCGTCGCTTCCACTTTCAACTTCTTATCTATTTTCTTCCTCCGTCATTTTTTACTTATTTTTTTCAAAAGAAAATTAGACTAATTTTTTAAATTATACTAATTTGATATTTTAAATTAATATTTAAAAACTAATATATGTATCAAAGACAAATTTAGATATGTAAATGTATGTTGGAAAAATATATGGATTAATACTTTTTAATAAGTAATTACTGATTTTAGCGACTTTTTCTTTAGGTTAAATTCATGGGTGGCTCCCTAATCTTGGCACCAATTTTCACTTAAGTTCCTCAATTAGGCAATTTTCATTTTAGACACCTCATGTAGGGTTCTATTTTGTCATTTTGACATTTTTCTAACAATAAATAAAAAACTAAAGGAGAGTGTAATACGCTTGTTGATGACGTGACAAACAATCAATTAAATAATTATGTGTGTTATTTTCAATTAAAAATAATTATAAAAATCTATTTAGTAAATAAATTAAAATATTATTCTAAGAAAATCTCTATTTCATTACACTCAAAATCTATTTTGTGTTTTCTCAAAAAAAATATTTTTTTCTTTTACTATTTTTCATATTTATTCATCTTCTTTCTTTTTAGTATTGTTTTTGGAAAGAAAAGAGGGAGAGGAAGAAAGAGAAGAGAATAAATATGAAATATGGGTGTTGGTATCCATTTTTTTGGCAAAATATGGAGGAATGTGATGATAGATTTAGATAAGTAATACGATGAAGAAGAAGAAAATGACTTAAAAATGAACTTGAATAAAAAATTTGACCTCCATTGAAGGAATTTAAGCTTGAAAAAAGGATAGGGGGTGGTGGCTTGAAAAATGGAGAAGAAGAAGAGAAAATAAAATTAAAAATGGCTAAATTAAGTCTTTCACGCGATATTGTTGAGTATATCTCACTCACTTTGACATGTTAGCGAAAAATGTCAAAATGATACAACAGAACCCTACATGAGGTGTCTAAAATGAACATCGCCTAATTGAGGTGTTTAAGTGAAAATTGGTGCCAAATTTAGGGGGTCACCGATAGATTTGGCCTTTTATTTATCACCATTTATAGTAACACATAACAATACTATGTTAAATCTGCAATATGTATTAAAAGTAATTTATGTATGCAATATATATGTATTATAACTGTTTTTTAAACTATATTATGCTTGTTTGAAAAGAAATTGACATATTGTATTATATGAGTATTAAAATGTGTGATAAATGTATTAACCATCAATAACGCTACTATATGTGAATAACATATTCTTCTTTGTAATATACATTAAAATTGTATAATAAATGAACTAGTAAAAATACCCGCGTTTCGTGCGGGAGTTAAATATTACAAAATTTATAAAATAATACTTAAAGTACATCGGTCATTAAACCTAAAATTCTATATTCTCTTACACACAAGATTATGTAGTAAGAATCATTAACGATGTAAAGGAACATAAAAATTATTGCATCTTATCATTTATCCTTAATAATATAAGCATAAACTAATGAGTGTAACAATACATACCAGGATCTGTGAGATAAACAATGATGCTTGTTAGCCACTCAACAGGAGCAAGATACATAAATATTTAAGAAGAAGAAGTTTAAAATTTTTATTTTTTTTAAAATGGGAGGAAAACTCACTATTTATTGTGTGAACAAAGGGTAGTGTGGAAGAATATTTATTGTGGCTTATCGAAAAGTTACAACTAATTGGAAAAGTTACAATCCTTCATTAATGTCACAATCTTTCAGAAAAATCACAACTTTTCATAAGAATCGCAACTCTTTATTAAATCACAACTTTTCATAAAAGTCGCAATTCTTTATAAAAATCGCAACTCTTCATTAATGTCGCGATTTTTTATAAAAGTCACAACATCCATAAATATCACAACTTTTCATGAAAGGTGAAGGTTAGTTTTGTAAATAAATTAATTAAAAGAGAATTCTTGTTTGTGGTGGCGCCACGTAGGCGTGCCTAAGATTCTCTTTTATATAATTATATGATATGATTAAAAATGATCAGGTGAAAAAAATATTATTGTTATAACTGATAAATATTTTTATAATGTAATATATTTATGTAAGTTTCCCGAAACCTATACATTTTGGGTTTTATATAATGAATTGATGATGAATTTGTTTGGTTATACCCAAAGAATTAGACATAAGAATATATGTGGTATAATGTTTTAACTTCTACTTGTTTTAAAAAATATTAAAAATTAATCGATTTGTATCAATGTTAAAAAGAAACCAAGATAATGAATTGGTTTCAAGAAAAAAAAATTAGTTATACAAATCAATTAATAAAAATATTAATTTAAGATAAATTTTATAAAATAACTACGTAACAATATCATTGACACCTTAATTACTTTTCGTTATAATCTAAATAATTTTTGTGAATATATGGAATCGTATTTATCACTCGAATTAGGCTAGTAGATATGTCATAATACCAAATATTTGTTGATTACATTTAGTAATCTTTATCATGTTATGTATTAATGTTTATTATTAAAAAAAACTATCTATAATTACTCAAAATTGACCTTATTATATAGAATTCAACTCTTGCTTTTTATATTAGTGGCAGCCATCTTAAAATGTGGAAACTTTAAAATGGAATTAGTTCAAGACCAATTGGATTCTTTAATCTCTCATTGGACATAAATTTTGAAGTAGTCGTATTTGAACATCCGTTTTACTTAGAAAAAAATTGAAATTATGTGAATAAAAGTAAAATTTCTCCAAATAAGGTTTTGAAAAAAATAAAAATATTCGAAGATCAAATATTCAAAATCTAAAAAAAATCAAATGATTCATGGCTAAATTAATATTTAAAAATAACTTTTTAAAATTTGAATTTACGATCAAACGATAGCTTACCTATGACATTAAGATTACGTAGAAAAAATGTTTAAATGTAGATGAATGACATTTTTGGCTTTACCAAACATGAATCTACTAGTTTTGACTTGATTAATAGATAGCCACTATATACATTCTCCTACCTAGAATTTGAACATGCCCATGGATTATACACAAAACCATTTGACAACAAACTTTCCTACCCCCACCATGTTGTCAATTTTACTTCATATATATACACATAATTAACACCTTATGCCTATTCTCATAATATAACTCATTTCTACAAAAAAAAATAAAAAGAAAAAAAGCATGGCCAAATTTATTAACAAAATGACCATCTATTCGATTCTCTTTACAATTATATTTATTTCATGTTCAAAATTATTATCATTCCCTCTCAATAACATTTCACTTGTTGTACTCCCTATACTTCCCCTTATTTTCTACTTCCTCTATGCCAACAATTCCCAAATCACCCTCCCTCCGGGCCCACGGCCCGTCCCGATTTTCGGTAATTGGCTTCAAGTCGGTAACGACTTGAACCATAGACTCCTAGCGACCATGGCACAAACCTATGGTTCGATATTTTTACTCAAACTCGGGTCCAAAAACTTAGTTGTTATATCGAATCCTGAGCTAGCTAATCAAGTCCTACACACACAAGGGGTTGAGTTTGGGTCACGTCCACGTAACGTTGTGTTCGATATATTCACGGGGAATGGACAAGACATGGTGTTCACAATATATGGTGATCATTGGAGAAAAATGAGACGTATCATGACAGTACCATTTTTCACTAACAAAGTTGTGCACCAATATAGTGATATGTGGGAAAATGAAATGGACCTAGTTGTTGATGACTTGAAAAAATTGAAACATGAAGGAATTGTTATAAGGAGACGTTTGCAATTGATGTTATATAATATTATGTATAGGATGATGTTCGATGACAAATTTGAGTCTTTAGATGATCCGTTGTTTATTGAGGCAACTAAGTTCAATTCAGAGAGAAGTAGATTAGCTCAAAGCTTTGATTACAATTATGGTGATTTTATACCTTTGCTTAGACCATTCTTGAGAGGGTATCTTAATAAGTGCAAAGATCTACAAACAAGGAGACTTGCATTCTTCAACAATTATTTTGTGGAGAAAAGAAGGTAACCCCTTTTTCCTCTCATTCTTTTTATATTTTTAGATCGCGTTTGAAGTTATGTAAGTGAAAACTCAGTAAAACTTTTCTTTGACAGGAAACTAATGGCTGAAAATGGAGAGAAACACAAGATAAGTTGTGCTATTGATCATATAATAGATGCTCAAATGAAAGGAGAAATAAGTGAAGAAAATGTGTTGTATATTGTGGAGAATATCAATGTTGCAGCAATTGAAACAACTTTATGGTCCATGGAATGGGCTATAGGTGAGCTTGTTAATCATCCAAATGTTCAACAGAAAATTAGGGATGAAATCTCAACTGTACTTAAAGGTAAGTCAGTCACAGAATCAAATCTCCATGAGTTGCCTTACTTGCAAGCCACAATAAATGAGACACTAAGACTCCACACACCAATACCTTTACTGGTACCACACATGAACCTTGATGAAGCAAAGTTAGGTGATTACACTATCCCTAAGGAAACTAAGGTGGTTGTGAATGCATGGTGGTTGGCTAACAACCCTGCATGGTGGAAAAACCCGAATGAGTTCCGACCTGAGAGGTTTCTCGAGGAGGATGGTGGCACGGAGGCAGCTGTTGCTGGTGGTAAGGTGGATTTCAGGTACTTACCGTTTGGTATGGGGAGGCGGAGCTGCCCCGGAATCATCCTTGCATTGCCAATTCTGGGGCTTGTGATAGCCAAACTAGTGTCAAATTTTGAAATGCAGGCTCCTTCAGGTGAGGGAAAAGTTGATACAAGTGAAAAAGGAGGGCAGTTTAGCTTGCACATTGCAAAGCATTCCACAGTTGTGTTCAAGCCTGTTGCTGCATAATGTGTTAAAAGGTTCTAATGAATATTTATAGTTTTTTTTCACCTATTTATATTACCATAATATCATTTGTAGTTCAAAATAATAAAGATTTCACACTCTGTGCCTTTACAACAACACATTTTGCTTTCCAGCGTCGAATTTATTA